ATAGATGACCCCGCGCAAAACACAGATGTGGAGACTGTCTATTAGGCAGGTAAAAAAAAGCTTAGAAAACGATCTCTGACTTTCACCATCATAAGGTATTGATACATAAGAACATAAGAAGGAGAGGTATAAATAGGCTACATGGGCCATCCAACTTCTTCCCTCCCTTCAGTAAGAACATGACTCAACATTTCATTAATTCTACTTTTCCATCATCTCCCCATAAACTATAGTTGATTTCATGTGCTTAAATCCATTTCATTTTTAAATATACTTGATTGAACATCCACATCTCTCTTGGGCAGAGAATTCAGAATCCTCCGAGTGTTTTTATTGATTCTTTCATCGAAGTGGGCGTCGCTGACAAGGCCAACATTTGTTGCCCATCCCGAATTGCCATTGAACTAAATGGGCTCTTAGGCTATTTCAGAGGACACTTAAGAGTCAATCACATTGCTCTGTGTCTGAAGTCACATATAGACCAGACTGAAAAAGGCTGGCAAGTTTCCTTATCCAAAGTACATTAGTGCACCAGATAAGATATGTACACCAATTGATGATATTTTCAGTCACCTTTACTTTTATTCCAGATTTATGCATTGCATTTAAATTCCGAGTCTATAGGTGTGAGGCTGGAAAAGCACAGCGGGCCAGACAGCATCACAGGAGCAGGAAAGTCAACATTTCCCACCGAAAACCTTCGTCAGGAGTTCTACTTTCTTGCTCCTCTGATGCTGTCTGACCTGTTGTGCTTTTCCAACCTTACACCTATAGACACTGAATTCAAATTCAATCGGCCTCTGGAATACCAGGGGTATACCACAATACCGCCATCTCCCCTATTTCTCGACATTTCTCTCCACGTCAGCACTAAATAAGGATCCATCACCTTGAGAATATGACCAGTCGTCTTGCCTGTTTAGGGAGGGAAAGAAGAATCTCAGCGTCTCAAAACTGCAGCTCTTTTTATGTAGAGAACAATGAATTCCTTTGCTATTTATACTTTGCGTCAAAGAATTACTAACAGTTTAATACAGGATAACAATTACAACGATAAATATAACGGAATAATTATGAGGGAAAATATCTGACGTCGATTTAGGTGCAGATGTTGGGATGGTGAGGAATTTGAAAAGCGACGAAGATTGAAAGCCCAGGGAAAATTTCTCCCATCGCCTCATATCCACATTAATGTAGCCTTAGTTTAACGAGCGCACCTGCCAATAACGCATTACCTCCCACTCACCCAGAATCCGGGTGTCTCACCTCACAATTAACAGTATTTCTAGAATTTGCAGGGTTCAACATTGGTGGGGGGTCTTTGCCAGCAGGGCCGGCCTTTCCGGCATGTGAAATCCGCATACTGCGAAACATGAAGTCTCTCTTCAGCGTATCTGAAGACGAGCACGTCTCGTAGCGGAAGCTCTGAGAAAGTGGGTCGCCCCCAAACACTTCCACGTAGTTCGGAGGAATCTGAAGGCTCCGACTGGCCTTGCGAGTACTTGTCTCAAAGCAACAACAGGTGCCCCGAGAAGAGCTCCGGTGGTCAACACCAGGTCTGTTTTTATAAACCATGACGACGAGGATAACTAAAATCACTAGAAAAATGACCGAGAGTAACCCCAAACCTATGACCAAGTAAAAGTTTGTATCCGAAGCAAAAACAGCTCCTTCTGGTAAAGTGTCCATCTCGGATAACATTCCTGTTTTACTTTGTTCCACTGATATAATGATGGTCATTGTCGCTGTAAGTGGGGGGACTCCACTGTCTTTTGCAACAATGACCAACTTTTGCTTCCTGAGATCCTTGTCCAGGATACTACGAACTGTCCATATTTCCCCCGAGTCCGCTGAAATAGTAAAAAGTCCCGGGTCAGTAGACTGAAAAATCTGGTAAACAAGGCGAGCATTCTGGCCAGAGTCCGCGTCGGTTGCGGACACTTTTGCAACCAGGTATCCTGGTTCGGTAAATCTCGAAACTGTCTCTGTCGCCGTAGAGTCATACTCTGGCGATGGCTGTGTGAACACTGGCGCATTGTCATTTTGATCAAGGATAATAAATTGAACTGAGGCGTTGCTGGCCAGCGGCACAGCTCCAGAGTCCTGTGCCCGCACGTGAATCTGAAAGTTTTTAACTTGTTCGTAGTCAAATGTTGTCTGAGAATATATCATACCAGTTTCTGAATTAATCTGCACATAGGCGGATATTGGTAAATCCTGGTCCCCAGTTTCCAGGATGGAGTAGGAGAGTCGAGAATTCTGGTTTATGTCTGCATCGAAGGCTGTCACGGTGAAAACGGAGGAGCCGATAACGTTGTTCTCCATCACGTAGGCTGTGTATGAAGGTTGTGTAAAACGTGGAACGTTATCATTAACATCGGAAACGTCCACCCGGATGGATTTCTTGGCTGCGAGAGGAGGGATTCCTCTGTCGCTACACAGGATTGTAAGGTCGTACACTGACGTTTTTTCGCGATCGAGTGGTTGCTGAGTGACCAATCTGTAGTAATTCTTCACAGACGAATCTAGTCTGAAAGGAGAACCATTTGCAATTTGGCATTGAACCTGTCCATTATCTCCCGAGTCTTTGTCCTCCACACTAAACAAGGCTACCACCGTCCCAGGCAAGGAGTTCTCAATAACAGGACTGAACATAGAGATCAAAGTTATCTCAGGTGAGTTATCATTGACATCAGTAATGTTAACCAGGACATCACAGTACACAGGAGTCGCGTCAGGCCCCTTATCCATCGCTTGTACATTAATCTCAAAAACACGATTTTCTTCATAGTTCAAGTCGCCTTCGATTCTGATCTCCCCATTTCTGGAATCCACGTTGAACAGTTCGCGGACTTTGGAAGAGGCGTGACTACTGAACGAATATACAATTTCTCCATTAGGGCCATCGTCCAAGTCAGTTGCGTTTAGCTTGATTACAAGTGTGCCTTTAGATGCATTTTCCAGCAGTCTCATCCTATATACTGATTGTGAAAACACAGGCGCGTTGTCGTTCGCATCTTGTACGATAATAATTACCTGGGCAGTTCCAGATTTTTGAGGGATTCCCCCGTCCTTGGCAATTAGTACGAGCCTATGTGTCTTTTGTTTTTCCCTGTCCAGCGGCTTTTGCAATACTAACACTGGCAATTTGCCATCTCCACTGCGCGACTGGATGTCTATTGCGAAATATTCGTTACTGACTAACGAGTAGGTCTGTAAAGCGTTAGTTCCAACATCTGGGTCCTGCGCCGATTTCAGGGCAAAACGCGCTCCTTGCACGGCTACCTCTGAGATTTCCAATCGGAATTGACTTTCTGGGAAACTGGGAGCGTTGTCATTCACATCCAGAATATCCACTTGGAAATGATACACGTTTAAAGGATTTTCAATCACGGCTTCTAAGGACAAAGTGCATATCAGGTTAGGCCCACAGAGCTGTTCTCTGTCAATTTTTTCTTTCACAAGTAATATCCCATTGTCCACATTTACGTCCAGATACTGCTTCCTGGGCCCAGACACAATCCGAAAATTGCGAGCTTTGAGCTCGTTCACGTCTAAACCCAAATCATCTGCGATATTTCCAACAAAGGCGCCTAGTTGCAGTTCTTCAGGAATTGAATAGCGAATCTGTTCCGAAACAAGCACCCAGGAGGGTAACATAAAGAACAAAAGTGACCACTTCAACAGCCAGTGTATTTCAGAAAATCCCATTTCCCGCACAATGCATTCCAAATGCTTCTGCGCGTCTCGCCATTCAGTGATTCCTTGGAATAAGATTCCGTGTAAACGATTTTCAACGATAAAAAGGGATAACATTACATGAAAATACCTGTATTTTTCACATATCACTGAGAAGTCGATCTGTTCTTCTTATTTCTTTGTAAAATTGCCAACATAAATGAATATTACACCCAGTGTAGCGCTACGCAGCTCTTTATACCGGTTTTACACTGTATCTGATCGTACGTAATGGTGGATGGGGAGGGAAGGGGGCAGTCAAGATCTCTCGACACATTACAGCTTTTCATTGGTGAATGGGAATTCAACCAATGACCATGCAGAACATTTCTTAAAGCTGGAATGTCTCTGTAAATATCTCAGTGATTTTGATATTTAGCATTGTGCAATCTAAATTTCTCCTTTTCTTCCTACACTATTTTGGTGACTCTTCCTCCACATTTTCCAAACTTTGGTGAATCACCAAAAAAGTCTTCTTTAAAACTATTTTAAAACCTGAAATTATTTTATTTCTTCCCTAATAAGGTGTTATACCACTTGACTGATAACTCAGGGTACCCTGCCTTTCAATACACATTTAACACTTTATTCACATGTGATATTTAATCTCCTCTGAGTCCATTCAGTTATTTCAGTTACAAAGGCATAAATTATTGCAGAAACTCAGCAGGTCTGGCAACATTTGTAGAGAGAAAGTCTAGTGTCTAGTGACCCTTCAGGACACTTCTTCAACTATTTCGTTTGACTGTCTGCTGATCAGAATATTTCCCCTAATGAAATATGAGATGCTTTAATTCTGCTTAAAAATGTAAACCCTAGACTATAACACATTGCAACAATACGTATAACCACCATCAGAGCACTGAAACTAAATTTATTTTGCTCTTACGGACCAGGGTGGAATTCCAGAGTAAGCTACAATTTCCTTCCATTCTAAAGTATAGATGATGCAGGTTGCAGGTGGCGCTTCAGGCATGTCAATTTTGGTTTATACACGCATACTTAATGGTAATTTTCTCTAACCGGCACAATTAGCGTGATGGTAAGCCATGTGAACGCACCTAAGGGCAACTTATTGAATAGCACACGAGCTGGTCCAGAATTAGCGACTGGGCCTTCAGATAACAAAGCCGAATGAAAGGATTCTCTCTTGGGCATTTCCTAACCCAGATCTTCATGATCGGCACGGTTCCCGAGGACAATTGTAACTCCAAATCAAACCCATGAGGTGTTTTCTTTTCGCTTTTGAATAAGAACCTCACCTCAGAATTCATAGTGCTTCTGCACTGCGCATGGGTTGGTGTTCTTGGGGTGTCTCCATTCCCCCAATCACCATTCAGGATGTTGTTCTTCCGGGCAGACATAGTGCCTCTGTGGGAAGACAAGAAACCTCGCTTTGCGGAATATGAAGATGAGCAAGTATCGTAACGGAAACTCTGAGAAAGTGGATCACCCCCAAACACTTCAACATAGTTCGCTGGTATCTGGAGACTTCTACTGCCTTTCCGAAGCCCATTTCGGGAGTTCCTTGCAGTCAAACAGCCACAGGTATCTACCGAAGAGCTGTTGTATACCTTAATCGCGAGGGTAATCAAAATCACTAGGAAAATGGAGGAGGTGAGGCCGAAAGTTATCACCAGGTAAAAACTCGAATTGGAAACGAACTCAGCGTTGTCGCTGGTCACACCAGAGAGCATTTGTACATCCGTTCCCGTCACAGACAGCATGAACGTTACTGTAGCTGTCAGCGGAGGCATTCCGTTGTCTTTAACCCCGATTACCAACCTCTGTTTCGAAGCGTCCTTATTCACGATGTTGCGTATTGTCCAGATCTCTCCCGTATCTGGTGAAATGGTAAAAAGGCTAGCGTCAGTAGCATGGAGAATCTGATAAGTGAGGCGTGCGTTCTGACCGGTGTCAGCGTCTGTAGCAGAAACTTTGACGACCAGGTAGCCTGGCTCTGCGAACCGGGATACCGTCTCGAACACCGTGGAACCGAACTCGGGCAAGGGATGAACGATCACCGGGGCGTTGTCATTCTGGTCCAGGATAATTATGTCGACCGAAGTGTTGCCAGAAAGAGGCAGTTCTCCAGAGTCACGTGCCAGAACCTGGATTTGAAAATTTTTCAGATGCTCGTAGTCAAAAGTTCGCTGAGCGTATATGACGCCACTGTCCGAGTTAATAGAGACATAAGTGGATGCTGGCATGTTGTGAATTAGTGTCTCCGAGATATGGTAGGTTAGGCGGGCGTTCTGATTTAAATCGGGATCAAAAGCAGTGACCGAGAGTATGGACTCACCAATAGCGCTGTTCTCCATCACGTGAGCAGTGTATAAAGGTTGCCTGAACTGCGGTGGGTTGTCATTTACATCTGAAACCTCCAGCAGGATGGTTTTGTTGACTGTGAGTGGAGGCGTTCCGGCATCACTGCACACAATAGTTACATTGTATTTCGATATATACTCCCGATCCAGTGTCTCTCCAGTAACCAATCTATAATAACCACTTAAGGAGGAGTCCAGCTTAAAAGGAAGCTTATTTGAGATTTGACATTGGACGTGCCCGTTTTCACCCGAGTCTTTGTCTGCTGAACTGATCAGAGCCACCACAGTTCCCGGAAGGGAGTCTTCACTGACAGGACTGAACAGAGAGGTTAGGGTCAGTTCAGGAGCGTTGTCGTTGACATCAACGATGTCAACTACAACGTGACAGTAAACAGGAGTCGCGTAAGGTCCTTTGTCCTTTGCTTGTACATTAATCTCAAAAACGCTGTTGTCTTTGTGGTTCAAATGCTTCTTAATTTTGATTTCACCAGTTTTTGGATCCAAAGCAAAATGTTCCCGGACTCTATTGGAAGTGTGACTGCTAAATGAATACACGATCTGCCCGTTGAGACCAACATCCAAATCAGAGGCATCTAGTTTAATCACCAAAATTCCCATAGGTACATTCTCCAGCAAACTGACCCTATAGACTGACTGCGAGAAAACAGGTGCATTGTCATTGGCATCTTCCACTGCGATTACTATTTCAGCAGTGCCAGATCTCTCAGGGATGCCTCCGTCTTTAGCAGTTAACACTAACCTGTGCGTATTCTCCTGTTCCCTGTCCAAGGCTCTTTCCAAGACTAAAACTGGTAGCTTTCCGTCCCGACCGCGCGTTTCCACATCCAGGTTGAAATAGTGGTTGGTTGACAGCTGGTAACTCTGTACAGAGTTGGCACCAACGTCCGGGTCGAACGCGCACTCCAGAGCAAATCGCGTTCCCAGAGCAGCCACCTCTGAGATTTCCAGTCGGAACTGACTCTTTGGGAAACGCGGAGCGTTGTCGTTTACGTCTAGAATTTCCACTTGAAAGTGATACACGTTCAGGGGCTTTTCAATCACGGCTTCCAAGGACAGTGTGCAAGTGACGGCTGGTCCACACAGCTGCTCTCTGTCTATTTTTTCTTTTACAAGCAAATTTCCATTGTCTAAATTCACGTCCAGATACTGCTTACTGGGACTGTCCACAATGTGAAAGCCGCGAGCCGATAGCTCATTTTTATCCAAAACCAAATCGTCGGCGATATTTCCAACAAAAGCGCCTAAATTCAGTTCCTCAGGAATCGAATAACGCATCTGTCCGGAAGCCAGTTCCCAAGAAAAGATGATACAATATAAAAATAGCCATTTCAATAGCCGATATGTTTTACAATACTCCATTTCCAGCACAAAGCATTTCAAGTGATACAAGCGCCGTGTAAAAACAAAACAAACAAAAAAAATCCTGGCAGAAGAATCAATTATGTTTCCATTCTGGCGAAACAGCTAGCTTGCCTGAATAACACAGTTTTAAAATTAAAAGAAATCTATGATATTATTGCTAACAAACCTTCTTATTTCTTCTAAAATCACCAGTGGCTGAAAAGTAGAAGACCTAATGTAACGAGACGCAGCTCTACCCAAGCTCTATCTGGTTGGATACAACGGCGGAAGGGAGGGTAAGGCAGTAAGGATCTCCGGGACCATTGTAGCTATTCATTGGAGGAAATGGCTGCCTTACATTCAACCAATCACGACACTGAACGTTTCTTAAAGTTGGAATGCATTTCTAAGACTTTGCTCAATAGTTAGATTTATTCTTGTGCAATATAAAATCAAACCAACCATTTCCTTCATTATTTCTGCACTGTTTTCACTCATTTGAATTATTAATTATGTTCTAAATAGATCTGAAATGTAATTGCCTTTATAAGACATCCGAACCTGGCCAAAACGTTCACTTAACTGCATGTTTAATTGATAACCTGAAAGTTTCCGCCACCACAAAGCTCACTTGGCCAGATTATTTTCTCCATTAAATACGTCTAATTGAATTGGACATAACATTGCTAAAATATGATTGGCAGGAAATCATTTCACCCATGTTCTCATCGAATGGGAGAGCAGACTTGATGGGCTGAATGGCCTGCTTCTGCTCCTCGTTTTATGTCCTTAGATAGGACATATTAAGTTTAATCAACTTTCTTGAAAAGAATGTAACAAAATTCCATCATTTGCCTCAATATTGAGTTGAAATATGTTTGCAACAGCCATGTCTTAATGGCCCAGATATGGTAAGCAGCGGTTTTTCACCTCATCTACAGCATCTGAAACTGTCATTGTTATTGTACTGTACACTCCTGACCCACATTACAACATTCATGGGCTAAAACAAGATTGGGTGCTTCACTGACAGCCTTTGTTTCTCAACTGAGGAATTAATAATCAATGATATGCTGCTAAACCTTTGTGCTGAAGAAATTAATGGGGGACCTATACTCATTGATTTTAAAAGAATGAGCAGTGATCTTGTTGAAATGCAATGAAATATTCTGAGGAGGCTTGACAGAGTGGATGCTCAGGGGCACTTTAAAGATAAGGCACCTCCCGCTTTAGATCAAGATGAAGGGGAATGTCTTCTTGAGGATCAATAAATAGTCTCTGAATCAGAGATAGTAGGAACTGCAGATGCTGGAGAATCCGAGACAACAAGGTGCA